GCCCGCTCTATGGTCCTGAATCCGATACGAATCTGATCTTTTTAAATGCAACCTGTGTCTGAACGGCTAGGTCGCATTAATTCGACCTGAACGCCATTAAAACGCGACAAAGGTCACTCTTCTGCTTCTTGCCACATAGAAGCGACAAGAATAGCAACAACCATGGCAGATGATGATGCGGAGAGCAGTATTTATGTTTAACCATATTGAAAAGATTGTGTTTTTATGGTTGGAAAAGATCGCTAGATGCACGCTGGCACTACCATCCATGTTTACTTCCGGAAAAAAAAAAGAGCACGCTGGCCTGTGACGGCATTGCGTCCTCTGCTGCGCATGCTCTATGACTGCAGTTCACACAGGAAGGCCTGCAGTGTGAACATAGCCTAAAACAGCAAGTAGATTGGTAACCCCGCCTCCTGCTCTCCTCTATCTTGTCTGCTGTCATGATTCATGCAGCTATTATTTCATCCAAATGAAAAATGGAGAACAGATAAGCAGATCATGGCTTGTCTACATTGAAAAGAAGGACAGGAAGGAGCAATCAGCTAAGTTAGGATGGGCGTAGTGATGAATGGGCTTTCATTCCTTATAAAACAACATGAAAAGTCAGCTGAGTGCATTCTCATTGTGAAAAGAAAAAGGGACAAAAGAAAACAGAGAGAAAACAGCAAGAAAAGGGACAAGAAGAGAGGGAAAAACGTAGAAGAAATAATGGATGTCTATTTTATTAAAATGAATGGGTGTGTTTTATGTGTTGTCTTCCCATTTAAAAGGGCCCTCTGCCTGTCTTTGCCTAGGTCCCCAATTTTCCTAAATCCGCCCCTGCATCTAATGTAATAAAAATGGTTTATCAAGCCAATAGTTTTCTGCACAAAGTCATTCAAGATGGGCGTGATGGGAATCAAGGCAGTGGAGTCACACAGTTGATAAAAATCGATCAGTTATTTCTGTGTTTTAGCTTCTTCCATTTCAAAGTTTTTCAAAATTTTAAAAATTTCTAGTGGGCCAGAAAGCAATGGTTTTAAACTGAAATAAACATTTGGGTAAATTTGTTGCTACCCATTTTTTCTTATGAAGTTGGTCTTAATATTTTATTTCAAGTGGAATTAAAAAGTCTTGAATTTAACTGACCTTATGCTGGAGGAACCTTGTATTAATGCAGTTATTTCTTTTTTGAATGAGTAAACAACTATTTGAATCTACTTCCCTGTATTCAGCAATGCTTTTACTTCCTATTTGCATGGACGGTGCTTAATAAATCATTTGCTTTGATGGAAGGACCTCTTCTCTCATACACTGATGGTGGTTTTCCTCAGAAAATTAATAACGGCAGAAAAGCATCACCTTTTCAAACACCAAGCTTTAAATACCTTCTCCTCACATGCAACCTACTATAAACAAACCCCCCAAAATGATGTTTTAGCTGTAGCACCTCAGCCTTATCTTTGTAACGGCCTCTTAAATGAAGTCCCACTGCTGAGGGAGGACGGATGCTCAGAGGCCTGTTTTAGCTTGGTAGGCAAACAGAAATGGAGCGAGGGGCCTATCTAACGGCTGTTGTCCTGTTTACATTCCTCGCTGGGAGTTTGAACTTGCTGTGACCGTTGAGCTATTAATGCCATATGTTCGACACAAACAGTGTTTATTCACCGTGCAAAGATAAGGGTTTTCAGTTAGTAACTCTGGAGGACTGAAATGATCCTGGATAACTGTTAAAAAGCTGCTGTATGATTTCAATTCTATTCAGTTTATTTCTATAGCGCCAATTCACAACACGTCATTTTAAGACACTTTCCAGTTCATCCAGTCAGATTGATTCAAAGTTTTCTATCCTAGAAAAACCAGCTGATTGCATCGACTCATTGACTCTTCAGCAATCCCTCACACTAAGCATGCTTGTAGCGACAGTGGAGAGGAAAAATCCCCTTTTAACAGGAAGAAACCTCAAGCAGAACCAGGCTCAGTGTGAGCGGCCATCTGCTGAGGCCGACTGGGATTCAAGGAGACAGAAGCAGACATAGAAAAAGAAGCATAGATACACACTGCAAAAATGATCTAAAAATGAGTAAAAAAGTCTAAAAGTAAGTGCATTTACCCTTAATTTGAGTAGGTACCGTAAATAAGATGAACTCTTAAAATAAGATAAATAGATATTATACACTTGAAATAAGACAATGCAATAGTGCAATAGTTTTTTTCTTATTTTAAATGTAAATTGTCTTGTTCCATTGGCAAAGTGTCACACTTTCCTCCGTAATTCAAGAAAAAATGCACTTAATTTAAGAAAAAATGACTTATTGAGATTTACATTTTTTGCAGTGCAAAAGGCAATGGTCAACCAGCTTCACGGGAAAGTTGAACTAAAAACTATTTACAAAAATCCTTAACTGTTCATCTAAAATAAGGATGAATATGTTAACAAATAGGAATATGTAAAAAAAGAAAAAAAGAAACTGTAAAACTGGATCAAAGCAGTCCAATCCCGGTTCAGATTCTATGGCTACCTCAGATGCTGCCTCACCTTCCAGAGATAAACCAATCGTAGATAGAGGAGTATTAATGATCTTATTTTTAATAAGATCAATCTTATTTATAAAGAATCCCATAAAATCATTACTGCTAAGAGCAGGTGGAATGGATGGTTCAACAGAGCTATGGCTCCGGGTGAGTTTGGCAGCTGGATTAAAAAGATATGATACAGCCTGATATGAAAATACAATTAATGGGAGAAAACAGGATGAAAAACAAAACTTAAGGAAACAAACTGCAGGGATTAATTAGTTGAGGGGGACATTGGTTCTGATCCAAAGACTTAACAAAAAAGGACCATTAAAAACGATCCACTGGACTTTGTTCCCAAGTTTGAAGACATCTTTAAACTTGGAAACAAAGTCCAGTGGATCGTTTTTCATTTTCTTTTTTTTTATGACCTGGAAGACTGAGAATCTTTACCAGCAACTAAAAGACTTGTTTACTGACATTTCTTCCTGATTTCCAGGAGGTTTAGAAAAAAATGTTCTGTGGAACATGAACGCATTAGATGCCCGTATTATAAATATTACATTTCAGATAAAGAGCATCACACTGACTGTCAGACATGGTGGTGGTGGTGTGATGGTCTGGGACTTTTTCCTGCTTTAGAGCTTAAAAAACTTTTCAAAATGGATGAATTTTGATCACTGGCAGGAAAGTTACTATAACTAACTGTTTACGTAAAAAACACAAAATTTGATTAACTAGAAAACGCCAGGAGACCAACCAGGAAGTAACGGGTAGTTAACCAGTACTTACTGGGAAATGCCCAGCCCAACCGGATTATGGGAGCACTGCTTGGTTACCTGGGAAACCAATCAGGAACTAATTAATCCCTCAGTAGTCATCAGGTTTCAGGACCAAATGTCTTTTTAAAAAAAGGGCCAGGTTGGTTTGGATTTCTCGTTATTTTTCTACCAAATAAGAAAAAAATATATATTTTATTTAATATTAAATTTTTTTCATGCAAGTTGTTGAGTTCAACCAAAAATAATTATCCTGTTTTCTGCTCCTTTACCTCAAGCAACACATTTATACTTAACTTATAAACATCAAAACATCAACAACAGAAGAATAAAAATAATAATAATAATAATTAAACAAAAAAGATAGTACAATGAAATATCTGTCCTCCAAAACTGAGCCACGTTATACTTAAGGTTTATTTTCTGCGTTCTCTTAAAAGAAAAAATACAATTTGACATGATTATTACTTTGCATTACAATAAGGCATAGCTGACAAATTCGCAGCATAACCCGTTTCTAAGTAATGTCCTTTTAAGTGTAAATATCTATTCTTTGGTGTTTTATCCAGATTATTCCATTAAATGATTTCTTTTAAACAAAGTCAGCGCTCAATCATCTTCTTCCGTCTTTTCTTTTAAAGATTCCCTATTAAATCATAATTGCTTCTTTTTTTTAATCAACTTTTCTAAATGTTTATCCATAATGTGTTTTTATGTGCTTTAAAAATTTTAAAATATTATATTGTACTAAATTTCAACAGTTTTTAATAAAGTAATAGAGAATTTATAGCCTCTCTATAGTTTTTCTAGTTATTGTGTTTATCTTATCTTATAAAAGGTGTTTAATAGTCACTTGGATTATTTTTATGTGACGTTTGTTTGATGATATTAAATATATAAGTAAGAAGTTCAGTCCTCTCTAAGCCTTTTTTTTTCAAACTGTATAGAAAAGATTGTTTCCCAAATGGAAACAACTGGTTTTTATTTTTGTGTACGGAGAATGACGAGTGCCACAATACAATATTACTATTTAAATGTGTCTTTAATTCCTTGAAATATGAAATAAATACAGAACTTATTAAATACAGAATTATGTGTCATCATAATGACTCAAGAAAATGTATTTATTTGAACAAAAAAGAAATCAATAATTAAATCCTAAAATAACTTTATTTACGACATTAAAATTAAATCATTACATTTAATTAAGGTTCATATTCTAATTGTATATATTTGGAAATACATAACCAAGTTATATATTTTATATAAATTGTGTATTTATTTCCAGTTTTAATAAATGTATTAAAAATATAAATAATTGAAGTTATTATAAGTTATTTATTTATAATGTTGTGGCACTCATCACCCTCCATAATATATGGGAAGCCCAGAGAACCCTGAATTGTTTTTTATTTGGTTTTGAACAAACAAATATTGAGTTTGGGCCAAAAGGAGCAAACTAGGAGCAAATTATTTCAGGAAACGTTTTTCATTTAAGTAAATATGATTCAACATTATTTCTATATAGTTTCCCAAACAGATTATTGTTTTCCTGCTTTCGGTTCAGTGTATTTTCTTTTGACCGTATTCACAAAACAAATGTACGGCAGTTTTTTTTAATAGGTGCATTAAATTGGAAATTGTATTTGTGTTATTCTTCTAAATAAACTTGTTATCGGGCTTTATGATATTTGCTCTGACCCTCAACTTCCCGTTTTTCAGCTGGATGCACCTTTTCATGAGAACTGATTTTAAATACGTCTTCATCTCCCAGCAAAAAAAGTAAGATTCTTAGATGACAATAATTTGTGTGAATAAATTAACTCTAGCTAATGTGTTATTATCATCTTCAGGGTCAGTAAAGGACCGAAGCGCAGAGGTCGACTGTGCTGGGAAACGATTATTTTGATAATAAATGAAGATCGAATCAGCCGAGAACAATGAGAAGTCATGGAGCTGAGATCGTCTCTGGTGTATGGAGAGAAAATTGTTTCAATATTTTTAAAAGCCCAGAGCATGTTTAAAAAAAAAAGAAATTTGAATAAAATGCATTTCAAAAATGTAACTTTTCAAAAACTCTCAATGAAACCAGATTTTGAGAGTAATTTATAATGTGCATGCAAAAGTTCAGATATTTTCAAGGTTTATTTTTTATTTTTGATTTAACTTCTTTAGAATTTATTTTTCAAAATGAAGTTCAATTTCCATTTTCATTCCCCAGCTCTGTTCTTATCCCTCTTGGAATAAAATATTTATATCTGTATTTTTCCACTGGCTCCTGAACTCTTCTTCATTATTTAACTATTCCACTTGGAGCTAACTAGCTTAGCCACAGTAGGCTACTCTCTTGTTTACGCTCCGCTCACATGTGCAGTATCCCACCTCTGTTCTTATTGAAAATATAAATGAAGGGCTTTATTTACTAACAGATAACTATTGTTATCTAAGCAGTATGATCTGCCATGAACCAGGCTGCCTCTGATTAATAGTCATGTTTAATATCGCTGTAACTGTTCATCAGACTGATAAACAGACCAGCAGGGTTACGGACAGTGATGGGACTAACGGCGTTGAAAGTAACGGCGTTACTAACGCCGTTATCTTGTTTTAGTAACGAGTAATCTAACTAATTACTTTGACTGTAACTATAACGCAGTTACCATTGCAGGCACCCCGTTACTGCGCGTTACTTAGGTCGCGCAATGAACCTTTTTTCATGATAGGACTCGTGCGCAGCTGCGTGAAGCTGACACCCCACCCACGTCAAAAAACTCTGCAAATAGACTGAATGGTTAGTGCAACGTTAGTGCAGATTTGTGCAGAAAAAAATATTGTTTGTGCTACTTTTGTTTAAGAGATATTAAAGATTTATTTTAGGTCATCCAGAGGTGCGCGCCTTGTCATGAGAGAGGGGAGGATGAGATTCCGTCTGTCAGTTGAATAGGTGGGTGTTTCTGCTGGCGGGTGTTAACGTACAGCACACACAGAGAGATGGAGAGTGAGGATGACTCCAGCAGCAAAACAGCGTTTTCCACATGGAAATACCGGTGTTACGTAGAGCTGCGTTTCCCCATCACATAACGGTTTCCTCTGCATCTCCACACAGCGCAGGCGGCACGAGTCACCGCGCAAGCGACAGGAAACGCGCATGCTCGCTAAAGGCGCGCAACAGTCGCTCTGTGCTCGCGCCACAGGAGAACTATGGAGAGCGTGAACGATCAAATGAACCTGACAACAGCCAGAAATGATAGCCTATATGGAGAAAGGGAGAAATCTGGATGGATGGATGGATGGATGGATGGATGGATGGATGGATGGATGGATGGATGGATGGATGGATGGATGCTCTGCCTTCTCAACCTACTGTATTTTTTATTTTAAACATTATTTGATGGCCTTTGTGGCAGGGATGGAGATCCATATTTTATGTCACACACAGAGTATACATCTAGATAGATAGATAGATAGATAGATAGATAGATAGATAGATAGATAGATAGATAGATAGATAGATAGATAGATAGATAGATAGATGTTGCAGTATCTATAACAACCCAAACACACAGGATTTCAGAATTAGACATCCCCAGTTATTAATTTCATATACTCACCAGATCTGAATGTCCTGTTATAAAACTTCACATCGCGTTCCCCCTGATGTCATTTACGTTGAGTTGCAATAACTGCTAAACTCTCTGCAGGTTCTTGTCTTTGTCGTCCTCTCTATTCAGCTGGCTTTGGAAACACACGGCGAGAAGGTGGGGGCTGGGTGGTGAGGTTTACGGGGGCGAGAAACGCAAAAGTAACGCAATAGTTACTTTTACTAGTAACTAGTTACTTTTATTGTGGAGTAACTCAGTTAGTAACTCAGTTACTTTTTGGGAGAAGTAACTAGTAACTATAACTAATTACTTTTTCAAAGTAACGTGCCCAACACTGGTTACGGAACAACACGTCTGCAGCAGCGTAACCTTCCTCATCCAGAAGAAGACAGTTCTAAACGCAGTTATCCAGCATTTCCTGAATCTAAACTACCTTACACGTTTAAATGTACGTTTCATTATGTCCAAAAAACGCATTATTGAAATGATCATGAACGGTTTGACAAACCATCCATCCATTATCTTACACTCTTGTCCCAATTGGGGTCACGAGGGGTGCTGGTGCCCATCTCCAGCTGTCAATGGGCGAGAGGCGGGGTCCACCCTGGACAGGTCGCCAGTCCATCGCAGGGTTTGACAAACCAAATGGAATAAAATATGTGGTTTCTAGATGTAGTGAAAGGACATTTTGCCATTTTTAAATATTGACTATTTTATTTTTTTATTATTAACAAACAGAGAAGTAGTACAAAACTATGCAGTGTAAATGTGACTTGGTTTCCTAATTTAGGTAGAACTCCATTCAAGGAGGTTCTAGGGACAAAAATAAAGATTTCAGAGATTTATTTATTGACTGTTTAAAAGAGTCAATCTTTCCCTCCATCCATCCATCCATCCATCCAACCATCATCCATCCATCCATCCATCCATCCATCCATCCATCATCCATCCATCCAACCATCATCCATCCATCCATCCATCCATCCATCCATCCATCCATCATCCATCCATCCAACCATCATCCATCCATCCATCATCCATCCATCCATCCATCATCCATCCATCCATCCATCCATCATCCATCAATCCATCCATCCATCCAACCATCATCCATCCATCCATCATCCATCCATCCAACCATCATCCATCCATCATCATCCATCCATCCAACCATCATCCATCCATCCATCCATCCATCCAACCATCATCCATCCATCCATCCATCCATCCATCCAACCATCATCCATCCATCCATCCATCCATCCATCCATCATCCATCCATCATCATCCATCCATCCATCATCATCCATCCATCCAACCATCATCCATCCATCCATCATCCATCCATCCATCCATCCATCCATCCATCATCCATCCAACCATCATCCATCCATCCATCATCCATCCATCATCATCCATCCATCCATCATCCATCCAACCATCATCCATCCATCCATCCATCATCATCCATCCATCCATCCATCCATCATCCATCATCATCCATCCATCCATCCATCATCATCCATCATCATCCATCCATCCATCCATCATCATCCATCCATCCATCCATCCATCATCCATCCAACCATCATCCATCCATCCATCATCCATCCATCATCATCCATCCATCCATCATCCATCCAACCATCATCCATCCATCCATCCATCATCCATCCATCATCATCCATCCATCCATCATCCATCCAACCATCATCCATCCATCCATCATCCATCCATCATCATCCATCCATCCATCATCATCCATCCATCCAACCATCATCCATCCATCCATCATCCATCCATCCATCCATCCATCCAACCATCATCCATCCAACCATCATCCATCCATCCAACCATCATCCATCCATCCATCCATCCATCCATCCAACCATCATCCATCCATCCATCCATCCATCCATCCATCATCCATCCATCATCATCCATCCATCCATCATCATCCATCCATCCAACCATCATCCATCCATCCATCATCCATCCATCCAACCATCATCCATCCATCATCATCCATCCATCCAACCATCATCCATCCATCCATCCATCCATCCATCCATCCATCCATCCATCCATCCATCCAACCATCATCCATCCATCCATCCATCCATCCAACCATCATCCATCCATCATCATCCATCCATCCAACCATCATCCATCCATCCATCCATCCAACCATCATCCATCCATCCATCCATCCATCCATCCATCCATCATCCATCCATCCAACCATCATCCATCCATCCATTCTCCATCCATCCAACCATCATCCATCCATCCATCCAACCATCATCCATCCATCCATCCATCCATCCATCCATCATCCATCCATCCATCCAACCATCATCCATCCATCCATCATCCATCCATCCATCCATCATCCATCCATCCATCCGTCCATCCATCATCCATCCATCCATCCATCCATCCAACCATCATCCATCCATCCATCCATCCATCCATCCATCATCCATCCATCCAACCATCATCCATCCATCCATCATCCATCCATCCATCCATCATCCATCCATCCATCCGTCCATCCATCATCCATCCATCCATCAATCATCCATCCATCCATCAATCATCCATCCAACCATCATCCATCCATCCAGCCATCCATCCATCCATCCATCATCCATCCATCCAACCATCATCCATCCATCCATCTACCCATCCATCATCCATCCATCCATCCATCATCCATCCATCCATCCATCCATCCATCCATCCATCCATCCATCATCCATCCATCCATCCATCCATCCATCCATCCATCATCCATCCATCCATCCATCCGTCCATCCATCCATCCATCCATCCATCCATCATCCATCCATCCATCCATCCATCCATCCATCCATCCATCCGTCCATCCATCCATCCATCCATCATCCATCCATCCATCTATCCATCCATCATCATCATCCATCCATCATCCATCCATCCATCCATCCATCCATCCATCATCATCCATCCATCCATCCATCCATCATCCATCCATCCATCCATCCATCATCCATCCATCCATCCATCCGTCCATCCATCCATCATCCATCCATCCATCCATCCATCTATCCAACCATCATCCATCCAACCATCATCCATCCATCCATCATCCATCCATCCATCCATCCATCCATCCAACCATCATCCATCCATCCATCCGTCCATCCATCCATCCATCCATCCATCTATCCATCCATCCATCATCCATCCATCCATCCATCATCCATCCATCCATCCATCCATCCAACCATCATCCATCCATCCATCATCCATCCATCCAACCATCATCCATCCATCCATCATCCATCCATCCAACCATCATCCATCCATCCATCCATCCATCCATCCATCATCCATCCATCCAACCATCATCCATCCATCCATCATCCATCC